CCATAACCTTCCCACCAGACCACTTTCTCCTAATCTGAAATTGGCGTTGAGAAATGATAGTGTCCTTTCTCAGGCTTTTGGAGCATTAATTGTAATCTGAGTTTGCACGTTTTAACATCCCAGATTTCAGCAAGGAATAAGTGGATCTGATAGTGTTTCTACAGGATTTCAAATGAGAGATTGTTTTTTTTTTTCTTGGGGAAAGGTCGTTTCAGAGTTATATTAGAATGTGTATTTTCCAGCACCAAGTCTAATAAAAATACTCTGATACCTATTGCAAATACAGTCCTTTTAATCCTGACAACCCAGAAATAGGTTCAGAGTTTACATGTTAAATGGCAGAGTCTGCCCAAGACTGCAAAACTCAGGTTTCTCTGACCTGCCAGCTACAAATTTGGTTCCCACTTCTCCCTCAGGATTTCAGCTGCAAGTTGGTGGGCCTCCAGGATACCTTCACTTTTGATTTGGCTACAAATTTTGGTCTTCCACTAAATTAGGAGAAATCTGTCCTTGGAGAAGGTCATCATGCTTGGAAGGGTACAAGGTCAGTGCAAGAGAAGAAGACCCTCAGTGAGACTGAGTTACGTAGTGCCAGGCAGTGAGGTCAGCTGAAAATAGGACAGATTCCATAGCTGTTGTCCCTAGAATCACAGTCCTAGTTGACTGGAAGGCACATAACAATTCTCTCAGGTCTGATAATTCAAAGACGTTAGGAAAGTGCTATATTTGGAATTATCATTTTATAGTAAAGTGAAAAAGAAACTTAAGAGAGTGTAGAAGGGCTTCCTATGTGGTACTTGCATGTTCCAAGGGATTCCTTTTCTGCCTCCACCTCCTCCCAGTGCATCTGTCACCAGTGAAGACACCCATCCAAACTTGAGTGCATACAATTTCTATATTGTTTTATTATATAGGCACCATTGATTGAATTCAACCTTCAGGTCTTCCAGGTTGGGCTGATCCACATGAAGGTTCCTGCACAGACAATAGCCAGTCCTCTCCCTACATGAATCACCTGGTTAATAACCTTTTCTCTAAGGAGCACTGACTGCACTTCTAGTTTGACAAAGAAACCAGAGGACTGGCTGGTCCTCCCGCTCTAACAGTACTGGCTTTTGCAGCAACGAGGACTACATTTTCTGATAAATTCCCACCTTTATCTTCTCCGAATTTCTGGGGAAAGCCATTGGCCTTTGAGTGTAAGGGGCAATCTGACAGACATTGTAGATTTGCCTATTTCATATTCTTCCCTACTCTTCCTTACGTCTCACTCCATCATAGCGTGAATGAGGTTCTCAAATCAGTCCCAGCTGCTGCTCTTTGTCACTCTGTTCATACAGTCACTTTTCTACCTCTCATGAGCCTATTTATGCAGATTTTAATTGAATCACAGCCCCAGTTGTCATTGCATAATTAAAAACATTTGTAAAGCTCTGATCTCAAGCTCTAATCTAACATCTTGTTTTAGCTCAGTCTTTTCCAATCCAACAATTCTTCAGGACCTTTACCCTATTGTTACCGCTTCCTCAGACCCCACCATGTCTCCTCCTGGCCTCACTAATTGCTTTCTCCAGCATTAGCATCTTTGTTATACTTGTTGCTGTGTACCATCCAGTCGGAATCGACCCATAGCTGACTCACCAGCGGTTTTTCAGAGGCAGTTAATTGCACGGGAGGAGATTGCCCATCCTTTCCCTGTGGAGCAGCTGGTGGATTCGAACTGCATCCCCTCGGGATTGTAGTGCGGTTTCTTGCCGCTAGGCTCTATATGTAACCTAGAAAACATGTTAAAAAAAAAAAACCAAAACAAAACCCTCAATGCTTTTGAGTTAGAAATGACTCATAGCTGCCCATCTGTTGGGCTTTTGAGGCTGTATATTAATTGCATTGGAGAAGATTGCACATCTTTTTCCTGCAGAGGGCCTGGTGATTCAAACCCCCCGGAAGGTGTGGTCTTTGCATTAGGGCAGCTCCCCATGCACTGCGCCACCAGAGTGTCCTGTTTTTGTTGTCAGGTGCTGTTGAGTCAAACACGATACATAGTGACCCTGAGACCATCATACCTGAATCCTGCGCTTTCCTGTGCCATCCTCCTCATCCCTGATAGAGCTTCCTCTACTAACCTTGGAAATCTTAAATCTTGTTTACCTGAAGATGGGGGTCGTGGGTCAGAGCTGCAGGGGCGTGTCCCGATTCAAGTCCACCATACAAATACTTTTTATAAGAAACAAACACACATTGAAAAAAAGGTTTACTCTGGGTTTTTTTTTGGTGCATTACCCTATAAATGTCTATGAGATTGAGTTGTTTTATTGTGTGGTTTAATTCTTCAGTGTCTTTGTTGAGCTTCTTTCTGGTAGTGTGTCTTTTCTTGAGAGTGGTGTACTGATGTCTCCAAGTACTATGATAGTATTGTCTGTTTCTATTTCCTTTTTCAGTGTTGTTAATGTTTGTTTTATATATGTTAAAGGTCTTTCATTTAGTGCATAGATATTTATTGCTATATCCTCCTTAAGCATTATGTAATGACCTTCCTTGTCCTTTGTGATGGTTTTTGCATTGAAATTCATTTCGTAAGAGAGTAATATGGTTAATTCTGCTTTTTTCTGGTTGCCATTTGCTTGGTATATTTTTCCCCACCCTTTTATTTTTAGTCTTTCTTTATCTTCATTTTTCAGGTGTGTCTCTTGTAGGCAGCATATTGATAGATTTTGGTTTTTTTATCCAGTCTTCTACTTTTTTTCTCTTCAGTGTTGCATTTAAATCATTCGCATGCAGTGTGATTATTGAGAGGCAAGATTTTATCACTATCACTGTGATAGTTCTTTTTGGTGTTGTTGTTAGTTACTTTGGTCCGTCCTGCTTTCTGTGGCACTTCTGTAAGAAGGACGTCTCTTCGTGTTTCCTGCAACACTGGTCTTGTTTTTAAAAAACTCCCTTAGTTTCTGTTGGTTTTTTTTTTTTTTCTGGGAGTATCTTGATCTCTCCTTCATATTTGATGGACAGTTTCACTGGGTACAGTATTCTTGGTTGAAAGTTGTGTTCTTTGAATGTTCGCGATATGTCATTCCACTGTCTTCTTGCTTGCATGGTTTCTGCTCAGAAATTGGTACTTAATCTTGTCTGTTCTCCCTTATGTTGTTGCTGTTGATTGTCTTTGAGTTGAGCACGACTCACAACGACTCTATGAACAAAAGGCCTAATGCCTTTTCATAACTATTGTCATTCCTCCAAGTTCATAGAGTTTCCAGAGGCATGTCATTTAGGAAGTGGCTGCCGCTTCTGCTTCCAAACCTGTTTTACCACCGGGAGCTCCACAAAACACTGTCCACAATGGAAAACCATAATGCTATTTGAGACAACAATGGCACAAGGTTCAGCATCACAGTAAACTGAGGTTACTTCATACAGCACATTGACAAAGAGTGATGTGCAAAGTGGAAGAATGTTCCTCCAGATATAACAGCACTAGTCTCGTTTAGAAGTGGTTAAGTGTTGAGTCAGATATGGCTCACAGTAAGTTTTGCACAAAAGACTTGAACTCTGTTCTATAACTAACCTCATTTCTGTTGATTTGTAGAGTTTGTAGAGTTTCCAGAGGCATCTAGTTTAGGAAGTGGATGCCACTCCTGCTTCCCAGCATGAATCAATCTGGAAGCTCATCCAAACATTGTACATAATGGGTAACCGTTATGGTATCTGACACGACTATGGAACAGTGTTCAGTATCACAGCAACTCCAAGTTGTTCAGTAAAGCAAATAGAAAAATGATTGCTATATCTTTAAAAAATATTCATTTTAAAATTAATAAATTTGGCCCAAGGGCCACCTAAGGGATTTTAAAGCCACACCCTCTATATACCATAATTGTATTACCTAAATCCTCATCAGGGAGCTCTGGTGGTCTAGTGGCAAGAAGCTACACTGCAATCCCAAAGGCACTTGGTTTGAGGGCACCAGCTGCTTCGTGGGAGAGGGATGAGCAATCTCCTCGCATGTGATTAACTGCCTTTGCAAACCTACTGGAGAGTCAGCTATGGGTTGGTTCTGACTGTATGGTACACCACCACCACAACAACAACAACAACTCCATGTCATATTAAAAAAGAATTTGTTCTACGTTTTTCCCACTGTTACACTGATTTAAGTCCATTGCTATTTTTAACTATAGAAATAGAAAATAGAAAAGAATTGGAAAGATAATAATCCTTTTAACCAAAATTTTACAATGAATTCTGGTGCAATATATTTATAAGACGTTACACATGACAGGCTGCTTGTGCATGGCATGGTTGTGGAACAAGTCTCCTTCCATTATGGGTGAATAGAGACCAATCTTGATGAATGGAAATCTTGCTTTCAATAGAAATGTTTTCTCAGTACAGAATTTCCAAGGTTCTGGGGTAAGTTTGCATTGACTGAATTATACTAATAAATGATATGTATGGGAAGCCAAACTTTATACCAAATATTATATGAAAACCCTTGTTCAGGAATTGGGAGGAATTACAGATTTATAAGTTAGGATTTCTCTTGTGACAGATCACAGAAAATGAGCTGTTTGTTCCCTGCAGACAGGAGACAGCTAGGGGCCCCCTTCAGAGGGAGTGTTACTTCCTGAGCTAGAGTTTACCCTGAGGCCTCAAGGTTAATAGTTAAGGGTAAACCATGAAACCTGCTGGAAGGTCAGCTATGAGTTGGCTCTGACTCGAGGGCAATGAGAGCGAAAGAGAATTGTTTCTACTTTGCATAGTTAGTTTTTTACACTTTCTATATATTTGCAAGTTATGAGTTCTTTGTAAAGAAGAGTTGGAACTCCTAGCCTCGCTACCCAGCGCCTCATAACTGCCAAAGACCGAGGGTACTACGCTGATGCTCATCTGGGCCACTAGGGTGCGCTCGGTGCCAGGCGCGAGGCCGTGGAGGCGGGAGGCGCTGTGATTGGCTAGCGCTGCTGTCAATTGGGCGCAGGCAGGGCTGCCTGGGAGGCCTGTGCGCAATGCGCAAGAGGCGGAGCCTGCATGTATAAAAGGAGCGTGCGCACGGGCTGCAGACGGCATTAGGCATTCGCAGGGGGAGCCTGAGTACCGGCTAGGAGTGGGTGAGAGGAAGCGAAGAGGAGGGAGGGAAAGAGTACGGAGGTAGGGGTGCGGGGAGGGGCCGTACAGGGCCCTGCGGCGGCGGCGGCGGCGGCGGCGGCGGCGGCGAGTGTTATCGAGAGTGTGATCGAGAGCGAGCCGCGGCCGCTGCTGTGCGGGTTGGGTCGCTAGGTGCTGCCGGCCGCTGCGCTACCTCGCTACCTCTGCGGGACCCTGAGGCACCCCCGACGCCCCAGACTGGGCGGAGGAGTAGGGACTGAGGTAACCGGTTGGTGCTGAAGAAGGAGCGGGGTCCAAGTGGACGAGCCGAAGGCCCCAGGACTTGGAGGTGGGAGGCTGAGGCCCCCCCCCCCCAGGATCGGCAACCTGGAGAACTCCGAGGGGGCGCCAGGCGAGCCGCCTTCCGGCGTGCCGCTGCTGTTGCCGCCTGGCAAGATGCCGATGCCCAAGCCCTGTGAGCTGGAGGAGAGGTTCGCCCTGGTGTTGAGTTCCATGAACCTGCCTCCCGACGAGGCCCGGCTCCTGAGACAGTACGACAATGAGAAGAATTGGGATCTTACCTGTGACCAGGAACGATTCCAGGTGAAGAATCCTCCTCATACTTACATCCAGAAACTCCAGAGCTTCTTGGACTCCACCAGTGTAACTCGGAAGAAGTTCAGGAGGAAGGTTCAGGAGTCAACTGAAGTACTAAGAGAGCTGGAGATCTCACTTCGCACCAACCACATTGGTTGGGTACGGGAGTTTCTGGATGATGAAAACAAAGGCCTAGATGTGCTGGTGGGTTACCTGTCATTTGCCCAGTGTTCTGTCACGTTTGACTTTGAGGCTCTGGAGAGCAGTGACGATGGTGCATTCCACAAGCTCCGGTCCTGGTGCAGGTCCATCAAGGACCTGCTGCCGCCCAGTGCCCTGTCGGCCCCCTTCATCAACAGCCTCGCTCGCTCTGCGCGCCAGTCTGTGCTCTGGTATAGCACTCTCCCTGGGCGCAGGGCCCTGAAGAACTCCCGCCTGGTGAGCCAGAAGGAGGATGTCCACGTCTGCATCCTTTGTCTCGGAGCCATCATGAGCTATCAGTATGGATTCAACCTGGTTATGTCCCACCCCCATGCTGTCAATGAAATTGCTCTCAGTCTCAACAACAAGAATCCAAGGACCAAAGCTCTCGCCTTAGAGCTTCTGGCAGCTGTGTGTTTGGTTCGGGGAGGTCACGAAATCATTCTTGCTGCCTTTGACAATTTCAAAGAGGTATGCAAAGAGGCACACCGCTTTGAGAAGCTGTTGGAGTATTTCCGAAATGAAGACAGCAACATTGACTTCATGGTGGCTTGTATGCAGTTTATCAACATTGTAGTGCACTCGGTAGAGGACATGAACTTCCGGGTCCATCTGCAGTATGAGTTCACCAAGCTGGGGCTGGAGGAGTTCTTACAGAAGTCAAGGCACACAGAGAGTGAAAAGCTGCAGGTACAGATCCAGGCATACCTGGATAACGTGTTTGATGTGGGGGGCTTGTTGGAAGATGCAGAAACCAAGAATGTGGCCCTGGAGAAGGTGGAAGAGCTGAAGGAGCATGTGTCCCATCTCACAGAGAAGCTTCTGGACCTAGAAAATGAGAACATGATGTGCGTGGCAGAGCTAGAGAAGCAGCTGCTGCAGCGGGATAAGGAGCTCGAGAGCATCAAGGAGACGAATGGGAATACGAACCATCAGGTGCACACCCTGCGGAGGCTCATTAAAGAGGAGGAGGAGGCCTTCCAGTGGCGATGCCACATGGAACCTGGTGCCCGGGGCATGGAGACACTTGGAGGCGATGCTCTGGCTAGGGTCAGCCCTGCTGACCTGAGTGAGGGCATGTCCTCTGACCTGGACCTCTTGGCTCCTGCCCCACCCCCTGAAGAGACCCTACCTCTGCCTCCACCGCCGGCTCCTCCCTTGCCACCTCCTGCTCCCCCATTACCAGACAAGTGTCCTCCAGCCCCACCTCTCCCTGGTGCTGCTCCCTCCGTGGTACCGACAGTAGGCCTGTCAGCCGTTCGCATCGAGAAACGCATCAAGACCAGGTTCCGACTGCCTGTCTTCAACTGGACAGCGCTAAAACCCAACCAGATCAGTGGCACCGTCTTCAGTGAACTTGATGATGAGAAGATCTTGGAGGACCTCGACATGGACAAATTCGAAGAACTATTCAAAACAAAAGGCCAGGGCCCTGCCCTTGACCTCGTCTGCTCCAAGAATAAGACAGCACAAAAGGCTGCCAGCAAGGTCACCCTGTTGGAAGCCAATCGCGCCAAGAACCTAGCCATCACCCTATGCAAGGCTGGCCGGTCAGCCGAGGAGATCTGCAGAGCCATCCACACGTTTGACTTGCAGACATTACCTGTGGACTTTGTGGAGTGCCTGATGCGCTTCCTGCCCACAGAGGCCGAGGTGAAGCTGCTGCGGCAGTATGAGCGGGAGCAGCAGCCTCTGGAGGAGCTGGCGGCTGAGGACCGCTTCATGCTGCTCTTCAGCAAGGTGGAGCGGCTGACCCAGAGGATGGCCGGCATGGCCTTCCTGGGAAACTTCCAGGGCAACCTGCAGATGCTCACGCCACAACTTAATGCCATCATTGCAGCCTCTGCCTCTGTCAAGTCCTCACAGAAGCTGAAGCAGATGTTGGAGATCATACTTGCTCTAGGGAACTACATGAACAGCAGCAAGAGGGAAGCTGTATGCGGCTTCAAACTGCAGAGCCTCGATCTGCTGTTGGACACCAAGTCCACTGACCGGAAGATGACGCTGCTGCATTTCATTGCCTTGACGGTCAAGGAGAAATACCCAGACCTGGCAAACTTTTGGCATGAGCTGCACTTTGTGGAGAAGGCTGCAGCAGTGTCCCTGGAGAACGTGCTGCTAGGTGTGAAGGAGTTGGGCCGGGGCATGGATCTCATCCGGCGGGAGTGCAGTCTGCATGACAACAGCGTCCTTCGCAACTTCCTCAGCACCAATGAGGGCAAACTGGACAAGCTCCAGCGAGATGCCAAGACGGCCGAGGAGGCCTACAATGCGGTTGTTCACTACTTTGGTGAGAGTCCCAAGACCACACCTCCTTCTGTGTTCTTCCCAATATTCGTCCGTTTCATTCGTTCTTACAAGGAAGCAGAGCAAGAGAACGAAGCCCGAAAGAAGCAGGAGGAGGTGATGGGGGAGAAACAGCTGGCTCAGGAAGCCAAGAAACTGGATGCCAAGACCCCATCTCAGAGGAACAAGTGGCAGCAGCAGGAGCTCATTGCAGAGTTGAGGCGGCGCCAGGCCAAGGAACACCGGCCAGTGTATGAGGGGAAGGATGAATCCTGAAGAAAAATTATACTCATCTTGACGATCACAAAATTATGATTTAAACAAAAGAGGGGGGAAATGAGGGAAGCCGAATATCAAAATTAATAATAGTAGACCAAATGCTGTATCGGGAAATGAGGGAGGCTTAATACAAGCTGAAGGTCACCTTGTGACGCTAGGGCGTTCCTTAGGAGTCAACATTGTTCTTAGTTTTTATCAAA